ATATATATATATTTAATCTAATTGCGTTTAATAAATAATTTTTGTCCCCATAAAAAATAAATATTTTTCCCCATAAAAAAAAAAAAGTGTTGTCCCATAACATAAAATGTAAAGAATAAAACAGAGTAAAATGTAATATTAATTTGACTACTTTATCTTATTGAATTTTCTTATTCTTATTGCTAAACTCACATTAACGAATATACTCTTAGAAATTGTATATTTTGTAAGAACTTATAACATTTTTATTAGATGAAAAAATATTTTTCCCCACTAAAGAAAATTTCTGAATCTATCATTGGACATGGTTAATTCCATATGTTGATATGAATAATTTTATTTCATAATTGTTTAAAAAGGATGAATGTGAATATCTTAATTATTAGCTTTAAAATACTGTATGGATTATTTTCATAGAAAAAAAATATAATTTGATAAAAATACATGTTCAATGAGAGTTTTTAATAAAAATAATTAATAAGATTTATAACAATTGTTAACAAAACTTAAGAAATAAGAAAAAAAATAATGATTATGCTAGTTCACGGCATAAACAATCACTAGATTAATTTAAATCTATATAGTCAAATAACTTCAATATAATAATAAAATAAAAATAATTTAAAACTTGAAAGCGAGATAGAAGAAAAAGATATTAAAAAAATGAAAAATTTATCGAGGAAGAGACATATAAAAATATATAATAAATTTAATATAACTTTTGATTAAGGCAATATTATAAAATAATGTTGGTAGTGATTGTTGTTTAATATTATGAAATAAGCTTTTATTAGAGTTTGTTTAGTAGTAAGATAATAAGATAGATGCATAAAGATTTATGTTAGATCTTCTTGTCCATTATAAACTTTTCTAACTTTTATGATGATAAAAGTAATATTAATTTTAATATGTCATTGAATCTAATACAATATAAGTAAATTGTGTGAAGCAGTTTTAGGTTATTTACATACAAGTGATTAATTGATTCATAAAAAAAGCTTTAAAAATTAGAATAAATCATAAGTACGATGTCTCTCTATGAAACATATACACGTACAATTACATTCTTTTATATGTACTTTACTAGTGAAATTTAAATGTATAGAATGAAATAAATAAGTGAGTTTTGAGAGATAAATTAGTTTTAATAAAAATGGAGACAAAAAAGTAATTAAAGATTTTGATATTTTTTTATAATATGTATAAATATGTATAAATGTATAGATTATTATTATTATTAAAAAAGAAATTAAAGATTTTGATATTTTTTTATAATATGTATAAATATGTATAAATGTATAGATTATTATTATTATTAAACCAACAAACTTTATTGTAATCCTTTTGTGTTAATGATATATATATGTTTTGTTTCATTCTTTGTTGTGTATGATTCCATGCTTAATGCTTGCTTTGGCTTGATCACCCTTTGCATGATTTAAGGTTTCATTGAGTATTGGGAAATATCCTTGAAACTAGTTCTGAACATATGCCTAGTGGGAATTGTACCTAGGGATAGGGCTTGACCCATTAGTAGTCTTAAAACCCTAACCGGTAATGCGGGTGGAGGTATTGAGTACTCAAGGGATTGATATTCAATATTTTGCACCTAGGCTCTTTCTCTAAGGAATTAGGTCTGAGTAAATTTATGGTTGACTGAACAATGGATGTAACAAGAGACATAGGATTCACTAGTGTTTGTTTGGTGAAATCAAACCCCCACAACTTCAAGTGTCCATTTTACCATTTCTCACCCCATTTCATTTCTAATTCATTTATTTGTGTTTTAACAATTCCAGTAGTTTTGTTCTTAAATTCATATTCATATTTATTGGGATTGTTCTCAAGTCACAAGTAGCCAATGAATGCTTAGTTTACCTTCTAATCCCTGTGGATACGATATTTTTACTACTTGTACGGCCGGTACACTTGCCGTGTTTGAGTCCGTTGAGGGAAGTAACCTAATCTATAATTATAATAAAAAGTACTTCAACGGAAATCTCAACAACGCCACAAACTAAAATTATCTCAAGGCTAAAGTCTTTGGTAACCCTTCTACTTTCTGCCTTAGACAAGGTACATCGTCTATAATGCAATTCTAACAAATGCTACTTCAAGTTGATCAACAAGCTCCAAGTGAATCTTACCTCAAATGATGAGGACTCAACTCTGAACTAACTTTTGTTGGTGTCAAAAGGGGAGAGAAATAAAATTAAGTAGAAAGTAGAGGAACAAAAATGAAAAAAAAAATGAAACTAGTAGTTTTTTTTTATATTGTTATTGAAACTTTTTGGTTATTTATGAAGTTAGCGGAAAAACACATAGAAGGAGGGGTTGAATATTTGTGTGTATGAACAAAGGTATTTTAAAAATGTTTTCACAACAGTAGTGTTCTTTGTCCACTGCACTTTTGAATATCGGATGATTAAATAGAGTTTGTTTAACTTACTATCAATGCGTCTAAAGGATTTATCGTCCAGTAGGGAAGATGTTCTGTAAAGATATTAATTGAAGTTCTTATATTTTTCTTTTCAAAATAGTTTCGTTTAAGTATAAGTGGCAGATGAAACTTTTAATGTAATAAGTTTGTCAAGCAAAGTCAGTGTCTTCGTCTAAATTTTTTTTTAAAAGATACATAAACATTGAACGAAGTTTTTCATAAAAGTTTCATTAATAAGGAAGATTTGTGTCTAAGTAAGTAGAGGAATGCAATTGTTTTATACTGGTTCGCTCATGTGAGTTACGTCCAATCTCCTTCAACTTGAAGGGTTCCACTATATATGCAATGAAGTACATGAGTATTGTCATCCACTCCTGGACCTAAGTATTCTCGACCACTCCTGGCCCAAGTATTCTTGACCACTCCTGGCCCCCCAGCTTCACTCATCAGCGCTAATATTTTTATACCACTTCTGGTCCAAGTATTCTCGACCACTTCTGGCCCGTTGGCTTTACTCACCAACACTAGTATTCTTAAATCACTTTTGGTTCCCCAAGTATTCTCGACCACTCCTAGCCTGTCGACTTCACTCACCAACACTAGTATTTTCTTATCAGCCACTTCTGGCTAGCAGTGAGTATTCTTTGACAAGCCCCTCCGGGCTTTACAAGTATTCTTTTCCTAGCCTCTTCAGGCTTTACAAAGTTGGCTAAGTATGTTTGGTTTGAGCGTTTACATGACTCTCACAGAGAGGATTGAGAATTACTACACTCACTAAGGTTTGCTACCTTAGTTTTATAGAGACTCGTGTTTGAGTGTTTGGGTTACTCTTATGGAGAGGATATGTAGGTTTACAACACTCACTAAGGTTTTGTTCATGACTAACATTTTGAACACCTTAGTTTACAGAGATAAAATTACAACATTACATTGTACATATGACTATGAGTATCATCTCTGATCTCTCTGTTTCGTGGGCTTGACATCACTCTTCTTTTTCTAATCAATTAGCCCTTGGGCAAAGCTTATGAATATTCTTTTATTGCCTATTTGCCCACACCTTCAGGTTTGATGACATTGCATATTTATAGGCCTATAGAATTTGCCTGTTGCATTTGTCCGTTGAAGCAGATATATTTGTTCACGACTAGTTTGATCTATTCATTTAATGCATTTTTCTTTGCATTAAATGTTGCTTCCCGTTTATAGACAATGCGCATATTTTTCTCTGTATTGTTGCAGTAGTGTTTGACTTTATCTGAGACCAAGAAATTATTTGTCTTTTTCTAGTCTTGCAGAAATATAGTTGTTGTCCTCTTCTGAAAAAGTAATGTACTTTTTCTAACACATGCATGTTCTGCTTTTGCGTACTTCTCTTTGTTTCTTCGTATGCATTTTACGTTGAGTGCTCTGGGATTTTTATAGATACCTTCGCTTGTTTCTTGAGACGTGATTCCTTGTTTGCTTGCGTCCCACTCTTCGTCTTCGTCTAATGGTCCTATGCACTTCAAGGTTAACTTGTACTTTAGCATCTAAATTTAGTGCTTTGATTTTTCTTTGATCTGATTCACAAAGTGAATGGGAAAATATTGTTTCCTTCTGGAGTGTCTCTTAGTCTGTGTTAACTTTCATCTGATGTAGGATTGACTTTCTTCGAGCCTTGGACACATCCCTCGTCTGATTTGTACTTTAGAGTAGTTCCACTTGACATAGCTTTGTCTGAATATTTTGTGATCATCTGGTACATGTTTGTGTTCCAACTATTTATCTATTGATGCTTGATTTCCTATGTTATTTGCTTCATCTATCTCGACTTTTGTTGGTACGTGTCTTGCCTTGGCTATTCCTTGTAGTCTTTGTCTGATACCTTGATGTCTCATTTTGGTAATGACAGACTTTGTCCTTATGCTTGATTTCTTATCATCTGATTCTCTCATTTGGTTTGTAGAGAATCCTTTTCACATTGTCACGAACTATGATGAAACTACCTTGCTAGCCATCTCATATGCTTAACAAATGATGTTCGATTTCTTTCATAAAGCATATGATTATCTTCCAATCTAGTCTCGGTGGATGCTTTGCTTCACATCCCTTAATTGGGTGTCTTTGCAAAGGCTAGTGAATGTATAATGGATACAACTTATTGAGAAAAATGTTTTCCTTTTTTCTTGTCCTTCCCACAGGCTAAGTTTGAACTTTGATCTTTGGAAACCTATGCCTATGTAGGAATAATCTTGATAGTCGACTTTTGTAGCAAATTTTATTTGTTCTTGTCGCTATCTTGTCTCACTCCCATTCTCTTTGAAGCACAAATCTCATCTATTTTTCAATGCAAAAAAATAAAATACAAATTAGGGCCTTTATCTCAAAGTTAAAGAGAGCAAACACACACTTGTCTAACATTTTGTTATACTAGCATTTTGCTCTCATTGATGGAACTACAACAAAAAGTTTTAGTTGACTAAATGACTGGTCGAGGTTGAGAAAAATATGTTATCCAATATCAAATGGAAGTCGTATCACCCTTAACATAACATGGTTTTTGTTCCATTTTTTCTTTCCCTTACCATATAGGTTGAGGCTTATTTTCCCGTTTCCAAGAGTGAACATAGATAGGTGTTAACCAGTGGCTTCAACCTGTTAATCCTTTTTCTTAATACCCTTATTCTCCTTTCATATGAAGTAGTCGTAACTTGAGCCCGTCATGCTTTACTCAGGGGAAGGAAAAATGAGTTGTTTACGTTTTAGTAGCTACCATTTCACTAGCTTTGGTATTCATTGGCTTTCAAGGAATGAAATATTATCAAGCACCCTTCACTATTTTGGATAATATTTATGGTTCTACCTTTTTCTTAGCAATCCACTATTATTAAGTCTCAAAGGTTTATTCGTGTGTATTAGAGCTTAGATAGAACTTTGTTTAAGATAGAAAGTCATTTTTCCTTGAAGTTATTGTCCAATTGGGAGAAGGAAGCTTGAAACTGATGGAATTAGGGGGAACATGGAATCAATCACTGTATCGGGGGGAGGGGGGTGGCTGAGACATCATTGCGACTTAAGATTCAAATGTTGCTTAAAAGATTAAAAGAATGATGGGAATGACAACTTGTAATAAAGCACGAGCTAATATGTGTCGACTAAAACTTAGATTATCATATCTTGAACACAATCTTCCTAAAGATAGAAAGCCATGGTTCAAATAAGGTGAAACCAAAGGCATTCGTTGGCACCCAAGATGTTAAGGATCAAAGACTTTTGGATATGGAATAGTACTTTAAAAATTGGACTTTTGTCTTGTTCTTTTTCATCTTGTCCTATCAAATTTTTGTAAACTAAATGTAGAATAATTTTATTTGTCTTGTTCAATATCATGAATTTTAGTGAATTAAACCAACTCATTAAGACTAAAACAACAATACAATTACACGAATACACTGTTAGAAATTTTATATTTTGTAAAAACGTATAATATTTTTATTTGATGAAGATATTATTTATTTATCTCCACTAAATAATTTTTTTTGGATTTATAACTATACATGGTCAACTACATATGTAGAAATGAATAATTTTATTTTATAAGTGGTGATAGAAAAATAAATGTGATTCTCTTAATTGTTGATATATGATTAATGATGATATAAGAATATTGAATTGTTCAATGATGATTAATTATAACTAGTAAATAATTAATAATATTTTGAGATTCTTAAAGTCTTGAATAGTAATTAATTATTTAAAAATTAAATTAATTAATCATATTCTTATTGTGATAAATAATATATTTAAATTTTTTAAATAAAGTGAAGTTTAATATACATAATTTTGAATACAATATTATATAATTCAATGATTGGATGAATTAAATTTATTTATATATAAAGTTATTAAAAATATAAGATTTGGTATAAGTTTTTAGATTTACACATAATATCAATGGATTTACACACATACACACACAATAATCTTATATTAACTTTATATTAATTGTGAATTTTATAAATCCAACCGTTAGATTGAAAGTTCATATCACTTTATGTGTATATTAAAATATTCTCACTCATATATATATATATATATATATACATTTATAGATGAGAGATTGTAAAATAGAAATAAATTAAATTTAAATGAAAAACTTCATATAGTTTTGATCTTATATATATGTGGTTAACATTTTGTACCTATATGAAATAATAAAAAGGATGAATTCTCCTGTGCACAAGTGCTTCATGCGATTTATGCACCACAAATAATATAGTTAGATTAATATCATTCCAATAATTATGATAGACTCTGTTGCACCTTAACAACTGTTTTTCCCTTCCACCAACCTTCACCACCGTCAAAACCAATGCAACCTCCATGCTCTGTATTAGAGTTGCATATTCTCGTTCTCACCAAAACCCATTGTCCACCGTCGCCTTTTCTATAGCTTAGACAATCCCACCCAATGGCTCATTGCCCTCGCACTCTACTTTGTCATAGGGATTTCTTCAATAAGGGGTTGTTGCTAACAAGAAGAGAACAAACACAATGAAAAATAAAAAAAATGGAATTAATAAAGCAATGGGTCTATGATAGCACAATTGATAACGAAGATGAAATTTTTTTTTTTTTTTTGTAAAGCAAAAAGGATAAATGAAATTGGTATGTTGAAAAATGGATGTAAGCAACACTCACCTAAGGGTTGTAGTTTTGATCTGAGAGTGTTGAACAAAATTTAGAAGCCTAAGATAGTGAGGATGGGTATGGTACAACAAGAATATAATAACATTGTGAATCTCAGATGAATCTAATCCTTTAAAACAATGAAGTAACATTAGTCATGACAATCTAACATGTTCTGAGTATTCGCGCTGAACCTGTACTAATTTAGATAGAAAAAATCTGTGTTTATCGGGTTCGGATTTACTCGATTGATAAAATCGGGGGCGGGGGCGGGAGCGGGGACGAGGATGTTAATACCCGCCCCGCCCCTGTACCCGCCTTCGCTCCTATCTCGCTTAATAATATAATTAAAAAATTATTTATATACATATATAAATTAAAATTAAAAATATTTATATGTAAATATTTATATTATTTTACTTTTCTTTTATTTTTTTAAAATTTGTTCATATTTATTTAAAAGAAAAAAGAAAAAAAAAGGTAAGAGCAGGGCGAAAAAATTCAAATCCTGCCAGAGATAGGAATAGATACTCATATTTTACTTCCAGCAAATATTAAAAACAGGAGCAGAGACAATTTAAATCTGCAGGGACAGAAGTAAAGAATGTAAAACTCGCCTCCGCCCCGCCTGTTATCATGCCTAATACCATAAACCACCTTACAAAGGTGAACCACCCTAATATCCAACTTTAAGTGAATACCTTTTTTTTTCCCGCAATAAACCTGTAAATTAAATCCAAGCACATGAAAAAAAAAATAGAGAGTACAAAACCCCATGATTTAGAATTAAGTGGCCCTCGAAGAAATTAGATGACGTTTGAATGATGAATCTTGAGACAAATTTTTTTAGGTATCACAAATTTGACAAAATGATTTTGAGAATTACATGGTATGATGGTTACATGTACTACTTGTTTTTTTTTTTAGTCTCTTTTTCCATCCCAACAATCATTTGTACATCATTTGTCGTGATTTAAAACGTGATTTTTAATATGATTTGGAAGGTACTATAATTATAGTTATTTTCTCTAAGATTATTGTGAATTACGTTAAATCCAAAATTTTATTAGAAATTATTTGATATTGGCAATAGAAATACACGTTCATATTAACTATTTAATAGTAGGACATATAGTGGACAAACTTTTACAAAATTTTAAAATTATTCAATACATTATTAAATAATTTAAATTAACGTATAATAAGTTTATATATATAATTGTTTGTGTGTATATTATATGTATATATATTTGTGTATTTTATGTAAATATTTATATAATACTTTCAACATATGTTTTACATATCTTATGAATTTAAAATGATAAAAAATATTAAAAACTATAACATATAAAAATATTAAATTATAAACCAATCGGACACATTATTAAACTAGTGCACAAATAAAAAAAATTGAATAAAAATAAGACATAAATAAAAAAGTGGACAATAAAAAAAACGATGTCACAGAGAAATCAAGAGAAAAAAAAGAAGTAAAAAAGTGTTTTTGCTTTTGAAAGCAATTTTTTTTTACACAGGAAAAAGAGTTAGATGCTATGTAGTAACATATTTTCTTTTATTCATTTATAAAGAAAAATGTTTTTTTTATAACAATAAAAAGTTAAAAATTCAAATCAAAATTATATTTGTATGTAATAACAGATAAAAAACCATTAAAAATAGTTTTTTTCTTTTTCACGACAGCACCCGTTAAAAATAGTTAAGACGCATTCGAAATGTTTCAACATTTTCACTACACACCGAAATTAGTACAAAAAAAAAGAAAACCTCCATCACCTGAATCCATCTTAAATCAAAAACGTTGCAAAAGAGAGCCAAAATAAAAACAAAAAATAAAAAAGCCAAATAATAAGAAAACCCCAAAACCAAAACGAAGAGAGAGAACCAAATCTCTCTCTCCCTCCGATCAGATCGGGCACCCTCTGTCTGAATCCCAACACACAGCACAGAATTTCGATTCCTTTCTTCCTCTCAACATTTCAATTCTCAAACTTTCAAAATATTTCCCCATTCCTATCAATTCGATTTTTTGTTGCACTGTTTCCGTTCCCAATTTCTGCGATCTGGGAAATTTCATGTGATATTAGGGTTTGGGGTCGTCTGATTCGGGTTCATTGCGACGGTGATGGCGATTTGCACGTTGAGGTTTTGAATTTGTTGATATCCTTTTGTTCTAGATCGTTCGTCGTTCTCTAATGGCGTCGGCTCAGGTGCTGCCAAATTCCGGCGCTTCGTCGCGGAAGCAAGAGCATCTTGAAGCTGGCAAGCGCCGGGTATGGATTTGATTTGATTTGTTGTTTTTTTATGTTCTGATTATCGACTTGTTGAAGATTGGGAAATGTGTTATTGATTTGCTTAATGCGATGTTTCTGTTGTTATTATATTGTGCATTTGTGCACCTGGGAGTAATGCGGGTTATTTGGTTTGGAATATAGTTTATTTTTGTTGTTGGACTTGTGTAGAGTTTATTTGTTTATTTATTTTTGCTCATATCATGAACATTTTGTAGCTCCGGGATTGTTTAGCTGATTGTGTTTGGGATGGTAAATGGAAGGAAATAGTCAAAATGATTGGAGGAGAGCTGAATGCAAGAGGAATTTGAGTCTTGAGATCTTGAATTGTGCGTTGCATTCCAGTCTTTTGTGACAGTAATGATGGTGGTCATGCAAGAGGGTTATCTGCTACTAAGGGTGGTCATGGGAGCTAGGCCATCTAGTTGCTACTCGCATGAGGATCCATTTTTTTTGGGTTACGCAACTTATGAATTTCTTTTTAGGCTGCTACCAAAGTTTTTGCAGTCGCAGTTTCGTTGCATTCCTTGATATTGCGGGAAACTGTGGATACAATTGCTGTTTTGGACACCCAAAAACCTTAACATTCTGGCCAAAATTGTGGTTGCAGGCCAGTTTTAAAATCTTGGTTGCTACCTTCAGTTTTAGGGATAATAAGGGGAGAAATTTAGGAGAAGTGAACTTTTAGGGATTTTGTTGTGTTTGTTTGATGAGTTTAGAGAGTATTTTTCCCCCCTTATAGGGATTCTGTTATCTTTTTTGTATGTTCAACTTTTCATCTGTTTGAAGATTTTTAATAGCCATCCTACTAGAATCAAAAATTGAATTCTGTGCCATGGAAAAATACTATTTCCTACATACTAAACCCATAATGAAAACTTGTTCTTTAAAATAAGATTCATTAATAACTAAATAATTCAAGCAGATAAATTTGCTATGCCCATTTGGTAAGTGATAAATTTTAAAAAATAGACCATGGAAAATAATAAAGTAATTCGTGTATCATTCAATCAGCGAAGCCATTCATGGAATAATAATGTTGTATATTGATTGTTGTTCCCTTGAAAAATGGCTTTTCATAGTAGTCAATTGCACACTATGATGGTGTTGTGGCTTTGTGGAGTGCCGTAGCCATGGGCCACTCCATAGAACCCTGTTGCTTTGCAGTTTGATGTCATGCCTGGAGTGGCATGGATCGTGGCTGCTATTTCAGCTATCACGACTGCTTTTCGCTATCCTGCCATAGCAGTTTTGGGTTTGATAACTATTTCATCTGTTCAAAGAATATTTTACTTTTAATTGGGTGCTAAATGCCTGAAGTTGTTATTTTTTCTTTCAAAAGTTGGTCTATATATGTTTTGTAAATGTAACATGTATATATTATTAAACTCACCCTGATTTAGTTTATCAATTGCAGTCCCTTTCTATAGTTATTACTGGAGTGATTCAGGCGTTCACTATGTCTAGAATATGTGTTCTCCCAAAATGTTATTGAAAGGGAAGGAGGTCTCATAAGTCATTAATTAGACCCAAGTTTCTTGGTATTTTAAATCTCTTCAATATAAAAATGTTCATTACTTCCTCTTAATCTCATGAAATTCTCAGTTAATCACACTTAGAAACAAAGGACTCTCTTTGAATAAAAATTGCATTTTTTTATTCTAATTTTTAGTTGGAGGCTCTATATTGGTGTCATTGTCACATTTATAGTTCAGCATGATCCAGCCTTTCTGTCTAGATTCAACTTCTAAAGTTTAACTTCTTGGGTCAAAAGACACATGAATGTGCTTTTTTATTTTTTATATTTGACACATCCCCTTGAGCAATAACCCTCTGGGCTTGAAGTGTGGGCAATTGATAGATCTACCCTAACTCTGTTGAAATTTATCTTTTAATTAGATGAATCTGGTCGGAGAAACAAGGATCAAACTGCAGACCACATGGTCATAGATGCTTTGATTCCATGTCAAGAACTATACCAAAAGCCGAAGCTCAATGTAAAGGCACACATGAGTGGTTTTTATATCTAAGAGAAGTGATAGGAATATACTCTCTGACACTCTTTTTAACACATTCCCTCTTATTGGTTGTAATTTATTGGAAATCACTAAATTTGATCGGTTTTGCATCCTATTTAATGAATCTCTCATGATTTTGTAGGTTTTAATGAACTTTTTGTCAATAAGAGTGTGTTGCTAACACTCTTCTTATCTCTAATGGATTCCTTATATTTTCTATGCAGTTTGACTACTTATTAATATTGCATTTTATCTAAATTATTTTGTGCTTTGTTACTTTGTAGTTTGTACTACTTTTAAACTGAAATCTTTTATTTTCTTTTTTCTGTCAATCTCAAGTATATTTTTTGGGTCTTGCAGCTGGAGGAGTTTCGTAAAAAGAAAGCTGCAGAGCGGGCCAAGAAGACTGCATCGTCTAGCCAAGTTCACAATTCTGATGCTAGTTTGAATAAAAAACAATCTTTTGAAGTTGAAAATGTACGTGTGAATGAGTTGGATGGAGTTACCACATCTGATGGTGTTGGAGGGGCTGTTATTGGCAATTCAACTTTGGGGACAAGTGATGACAAGACCCTGAATCTGTTTAGCCAAAGTAGTAATCAAGGGTCTTTGGCTGGTAGAGCTTTTCTTGCAAGGAATGATCTTAATAAATCATCTCCAAATCTGGTGGAGGCACATTCCAATATTGATGAAGGTAAGAGATATAGTGCTTCTTCTGTTACTGCATCAGCAGATTTTAGTCAAAACAATGAGACAAATAAGCTGAATGATATATATGGAATTCATGCCGTTGGTGTTGATGGAATTCCATATGGGACACCAAACCACCAAAGAATTCCTCTACGCTCGCAAGAAAGTCAAGAGTTTGATAGTAATGCTAGTCAATCTAGTCTTCATTGGATGAATGACAACCAGTCAAACAAGAGTAACAATTCTGTGAAGGATTATGCGGTTACTGATAATTTCTCTTCGTATTTTTCTTCAAAAATCACACCTCAGAACTCTGTGGATGCTCTACAGCAAATGAAGCCAACAAATTCTAGCTCTTTAGATAGTGGCTACTCACATAGTTTGCTTTCTGGAGGTAACAATTTTTTTTTCCTTTGCTTCTATTGTTTCAAAATTTTGTAATTTGTTTATTGTATTAACATTTCAATACAACCTAACAATTCCACAGTGCTCTTTGCTGATAAAGTTGTGCATAATATATGTTGTATTGTAGGTATCAATGATTCTTTCAGTTCCAAGTTTAGAGAAACAGTTACTAGCTCCGATAATAATCCACCTAGTCGTCATGGTGCAACTATGCCAAAATATGATTCCACAGGTTATGAAGCAAGAAATTCTTCTAATCATACACCAATACATTCAATGTCAACGGAATCTAGTTCTAGGAGGTCCCGTCCATCTTTTCTTGATTCTCTTAATGTCACCAGACCTTCTTCGGGGTCTCCATTTCATCAATCTGAGCAAGATTCCTCTATGTCCAATCATTTTGAATCAAGCAACAATGATATATCAGAATCTGCTTTTTTCCGCAAGCCATCTGAAGAGACTAAAACTGTGCCACTTTTCCCCAAATTTACAACTGCAACTGTTCATAGTCCACTTGAACACTTGACAACCCCTTCAGTTGTTGATAATGACAATCAAGGTGCACTGATGATAAGTGCCAAGGAAAATGGCATGGAGAAGAAGCATGATTATTACTCACCTTCACAAAATGAAGACTTTGCTGCTTTAGAACAGGTGATTTCTGCTAGTTATGGTCATGACGTTACTTTCTTGATACCTATTGTGTGATGTTATAGTGCTTTACTTTGCATATGTTTTTGATGAATTATTCTTAAAAAAAAATGAATTGGTTTTGATGGTTGAGTTTTGTGCTTGATTTATTAGCTACAGTAATGTTTGTAGCTGTAAGAACATGTGGTTACGAGGGATATCTCTGATATGCCAAATATGAGGTAAAATGTATTTTAATTGGAATTGGAGAATTCTTTTTGATGGTTTTCTGCTTAAGTTGTGAAAGCAATGTCAATTTGTTAGAACTAAGATGCAGCCTTACATGATTCATGATTGTAATGTTTATGCATGTCTAGTTTAAAACAAAGGAATGTAGGTATAAATTGTTCATCATATTGGTTCATCTGTTCTAGCAGTAGAATGTTAGTAATTAGTATATGTCATTGATTGGGAACTAAGATCCAAGTTAGTTTCATTAATAGATTGGATGTAGTTAATTAGTAGGAGTATATGTGATAAGAAATAAGTTGTTCTGTAATTGCTAATCTATTAAAAAACAGTTTTGTATTAGAAACTGCAGGATGGCAGTTGTGTAGAAAATAACTGCTTTAGGAAACAATTTTGTGTCAGAAACTGCAGGATGGCAGTTAAGTGTGTTAGTTAATAACTGTTGGTAATTATGTATTAGGAGTATGCATCTGATAGTAGGTTGTGTAATTGGGCAGTGTGAAGTTATTTGCATTTTGTGGACAGAGAATACTCTGTAGGAGACTTTTCTCTGGGACAGCAAGTATTGCCATCTTGTGTGTGATAGGAGACTTTGGTTTATTGCTGTATTGTGTGTAAATATTACTCATTCCATCCCATAATAAGTATCATCTTAGGGTTATTTTACACAAATCATTAAAAGCTAATAAATAGATGAAAGAGAATTATAATTTTACAAAATTAGCCTTATGATCAATCTTCTTTGCTAGAAACAATGCAACACAAAAATCTTTTTCTACATAATATTATTAGGGGTATATATAGAGAAGAAGTAATTAATACTACATTGAAAAGTTAATATGACATGTATTTTAGGACTTATTTTTTCTTCTAATGCAACACTTAGAATGGGATAGAGGGAGTATATTTTATTACTTTATCAATTGGTGTTCTCTCAGTCATGCACAAGTATAGAAACTGAATATGTTTGTTTCTTTAATTTTTGTACCTTTTCAGTCTATCTTTTCTTCTCTGGTGAAATTTTTGTAGTCATGCATTGTGCTTTGCCTATGTGTTTGCTCGGTAGGTCTTTTGTATGCCTCAAATTCTCAATAAATGTTATATTAGTTTATATTTTGTCCTCTTTTTTGTTCTGCAGCATATTGAAGATCTAACAAAAGAGAAGTTTTCTTTGCAACGCGCTCTTGAAGCTTCTCGAGTGTTAGCAGAGTCACTAGCTACTGAAAATTCAACCCTGACTGATAATTATAATCAACAGGTTTGTTTCTGGATTACAGTATATCATTTTGAAGGTTATTCAACTTTGGCACTATTGTATCTTTAATTTTATCACATTGTTATCTGTTTTCCTTTTAAAACCTATATCATTGGTAGTGACAACTTTTTTTTTATTTTTTATAAATAAAAATTATAATTTTAATTATAAAACATGCTTCGGTGTTATGTAACGTAATGTGTTTATCCATTGAACATATTGTGATATTTCATGTTGAATTATTTAATAATTTATTATGAAGAGCAACAGGTTTCCGTTATAGGAGCTGTCGTTATTTGTTATGACTTTTGGGGCCTTGTTTAAATAAATTATCTATTAACACTTACAAGAGAATTAAAGGTGAAATAAGCTTCTCCAAAAGTTAAAATTAGCTTATTTATACGGCTTTCGGGTTACTTGTATTGTACTCCTTTGATATGTGATCAAACATTTGAACATATTCGTCTGTGTGATTGTGTGTGTATAAAAGGAAATTAATTAGTTGTAGGTTACAGGAATAGTGTAAATGTCTTCCAAGGCTGGTGTAGTTTTTTCCCTTAGTTGTGGGTTAGTTTGTTACTAATTGTGTTAATACTTTGATCTTTGTTATTTCAGCATTGCTTAAAACCTTGTTTTGAATTTAAATTGGTGCTTCATGTTTACTTTAGTGGGAAAATAGATATCTGTAAGGATATGAAGCAATCACAATTTTTGTTTTCATATTTTTCTAGAGAAGTGTTGTCAACCAATTAAAATCAGACATGGAGAAGTTACACGAAGATGTCAAAGCTCATCTGGTTTGTATAAACTCTACCTAATCCCTATCTAACTGCATAATTATTTTGGCTGTACTGCTGGTATTTCATTATATATTCATACATAGTCTAGCTTGGCAAATTCATTTGCACACTTGCTTCCATCTATATTACTAAATCATATATTGAATATATATATATATATATATATATAATTATTATTACAATTTTGTTAAGTTATTAAAAATTAAAAAAAAAGAATCAAGCTGGCTCAATCTTTCAAGCTGAATATTAAGTGATTTAAGCTCAACTCAAATAATATACTTAGCCTCATATAAAACATGATCCAGAGATAATCAAGCAGCGAATTAAGCAATGGCTTCAGAGTTTGTTGAATTGAGCTCATTCTGATTCCTGTCCCATGTCTTTAGTAAATGGAAAGTTTATGGTTTTGATCTATGAAGCACTGGCTCCGACACTGACGCAGACACATCAACACGGCTAGTCTAAAATATAGGACACGACATATATATATATATATATATATATCATAAAATTTACTAAATTGATCAACATTAGGTAATTAAGAGCCATCACTATCATTAAAAAGAAAATTTCACAATGCTAGAACTTTGTCGCTTTACATAAAAAATTTAACAAACAACTTGCTAAGATCTTTAATAAAGAGTCCCAAAAAAAAAAACTTTAAAAAGGAAAATAGGAGATTTATTTATTATGATTGTATTTATAATTTTAAAAAGATTGGTTATAAAGAAGTAACTGTGTCTATTACGGTGTCCACTGTCCAACCATTTAAGGTGTGTCCGAGCTGTGTTGAAGCCCCAAAAAAAAAAAAATTAGACACCCACAAAAATGTGTTTGACACATGTCAACTGCATGTTGGCGGTGTGTAGATGTCAGACACCTCCGACACCTCTGTTGCTAGGCAGTGTTGGTGCTTCCTAAGTTTTGATTAATTGGATGGCTCTTAAGCTCTTTGTATCATTTTGTCTGGAATGTTTATAATATATTTTGGTATACACAATAACTGTTTTCAGTTTTTTAAAGCCCTTCCATTTTTCAATTGATATCTCGGTATCTTGAAATGGTGCACTACTGAGGATTATTTGGCTCACCATACTTTCTAAGAAAGTTGCTAAGACAGCTAAAGTTGTTTACGATCATCAAGTACCTCTCATACAGTTTTTCCATTAGTCAATGAGAGTTGCTTTCCACAGTAATTTTTTCTAGCGGAAAAGTATTGTGATCATGTTAAATTAACTTGCCTGTGACTCTAATCTTTTGTGTAGTTTCATTATCTGGAATAATTGATATTGGGTTCCGTTTTGCATTTTGCTATCCTACCAAAATGGCCATTAATGATTTCTTCTCAGTGTGGTGTTTTTCCCCAACATATAGGATTGTCATGGTCATGTTTTGGAGCTAGAGTTTTTAGTGCACTAAGCTGTGTAGTTGAAGTTAAATTCTATCACATTGATTGTTTTGATTGACTTGATTCTCTTTTGTTGAAAATGGAATGGTTTCATGTCAACAGGTTGAGCTTGAGTCTATCAAGAGTGAATATACAAATGCACAACTAGAATGTCATGCAGCTGATGAGCGTGCCAAGTTATTGGCATCTGAAGTTATTGGTTTAGAGGAGAAGGTACTGAATTTTCTTGGTATGTTTTGCCATTTGTACTTTTGAGAATAAAATATAATTTTCTCCATCGTTTATCTGAAATCAAATCGATAACTGAAACTAATTTTGAATTTTTGTCTTCATGTTGAGGCATTTTCTGGCATTTAATTAACTTCTCTACAATCATCTGAAATTAATTGACAACTAAAATGCTATTCAATTATTCAAAACAGATCAAAATGACAAATTAAGAAATAAGATTTTATTAATTTTTTCTAATGATTTGCTGAAGGAATTGTTGTGAAACGTAATGAAACAGATAAGTTAACTATTTTGACTGTTTCATCATTATGCTTAAATCTTCGGATATAATATATAATACATTGTCAAAATTGTGTGTCGACACACAGAATCATACATTTATATGGCTGGAATGATTCTCCTGATTAAAACCTTTGTTCTTGTTGGCTGGAATGAGAGAAGCCAACTATCCTAGGAACCAGTTGAAAATATCATGGGAAGTTGCACCATCCCCAAAAGAGCCAAACCGACCTGAAACTGACCTTCAAATCACTTGCATCACACTGACACCACAACTCATTACTATAGTGAAAATGTTTGTTGTGGAAGTGATTAGGTACACCTTTTTTGTTCTGCATGCTGGGGGATTCTGCTCTATCCATTGGGTGTTTGACTGCTTGGGCCCTTGCCAGTGCATCTGTACCGTATTTATAAATTTATAAGTGGGCATCGTGTTTAAACTTAAATATTATTTTTGTGTTTTGCTATTTTCATCTTTTCTACATGTGTGTATTGCTTTTGTATGTATTTTTCTTTGAATATGTTTTTACATTAGAGGTTGGGTCTTGTGTTGTGTGTTATGAATGCATGTTCTATGAACCTATAGTATACTAGTATTTTAGCCAGTGCAATGCACAAACTAAATATTTATTATATATAACTAAAATTTATAATAAATTATATATACAAATAAATATTATGTTCGATTATATAAATTATATTTAAAGTTTGTATAAATAAATATTTTAAACATATAAATTATATTTTAAATTTATGATAAATAATTTAAATTATAGCACAATATTATTTTATTTATTGATAGTCTATTTTAAAAAATATTAAAATTTAATTCAGAAATAATTATGATAAATAAAAATTGAATTAGATAAGAAGTTAAAAAAATTCCTAAAAACTCTCATTGAAGAAAAATTCCTAGAAATACTTTCGTGCAAGATAGTGATTCGTGTTTGATATATACGATTTGATTCAGACTTAAAAAGGTAAAAATATCATAGCTTGGAATATTTGTAGCACATATCAGAGAAATAAAATTTGTACTGTGGAGTAAATTTGTGTGTAACAATTTACCAATTACCAAAATATGAATGTTAGAAATATAGATATAAAACCTACCATTCATGAGCCTCCACCAGAATGGTGAAATCTTTAGGAGAATTGGTGTTTGATTAATTAATAATGCCTCTATAATGGGTAGTAACCCCATTTTTAATAATTTATAATTGAATTAAATTTCAATACAATGTAAAGTGGACCAGTGCAGTGTCCATCCTTCTAGTCCTAAAAGGTTAACTTGTTTAAAAAAAATATTTCTGCATCAACAATTTAACCTGTAGTACAGAGTATTTATGTGATGTCTATCCACCTAAACACACAATTGTCTGTATAATCTGAACTCTTTTAGGGAGATTTTTGCAGATAGGTTTGGAAATATATTAGATTATTGCTTTAATTTGTTATGTTCCACAAACATTTCAGGCACTCAGACTAAGATCCAGTGAGCTAAAGCTTGAGAAGCAGCTGGAAAATGCACAAGCAGAAATTTCTTCATACAGGTAATTTTTAATGTTGTAAGTATGGAGCAAATGAACTATAGATGACAATACTGTGATTTGTTGAATATTCAACCATGGATTCTGCCTGAAAAGATGGCATTTAGTTGAAGGATATTTGTGTTATAGTCTGGCCTTGTATCTAATCTTGCAGGTCGACTTTTAATTAAATATTCTTGTTATATTGCAATTTTTCTACTTGAATACTATTGTGGTTGTTAATATCTAAATTTGATGGTAATTTGTTTTATCTCAGAACATTTGAAATCATTGCACAGAGTTTAAAGCATAGAATTTGGGAAAAGAATGAAATAAATTTGAAAAAGGTCATTGGTGCAGAGTTGAATTGTGTTATGATGTTTGAGCCAAAAAATGAAAAGAAAAAACAAGTGAAGCCACCCCTTATCCTTTATTGTCTGCCTAAGCCTTTAAGAAACCTCTCCATACACTACTTTTCATACGTGTTTGGGTAATTGGTGTAGAGTTACATGAGTGGATTTTATTTTGGAAGAACTAATTTTGAAAACAATTGCTCATACTTTTGTTTTTCCTTCCATGCATTTGTTTCTTGTATGAAGATTTCTTTTCCTTGAAGTTCTTAACTGCTTTCTTTTCCTAATAAAATATTAAAATTTCTTGTTGTATTGAGAGAATTTTATTAAACTATTTTTTAAACAATGAGTATATGTTTGGGAATGTTCTCCTATACGGTGATTGGTACAGTAACACTTTACATATCACATTTCAGTACTTGTCTTTGGCAGAATGACTCTGATCCAATGTTGGGTTGGCAGCCAGACATGTCAGATTTATTCTACAAATTACCTTTTCTGAACTTTCACAACTACTTTGGGATTGATATCATACAATTTGGTTAAAAATGCCGCATTTTATTTTCCAATTTAAATACAATTTTTCCTCGTTCTGATGAAATTTGACATAAGGTTGACTCTTCATTTCCTTCCTTTGTTGATTCTTGGGCATTTTAAAATATTTCCTTTATTTCATTCTGGGGCTGATCAAAATAACTGTTCTTAATAAATATTGCAGAAAGAAAATATCTAGCCTAGACAAAGACCGCCAGGATTTGCAGTCAACCATCGATGCTCTTCAAGAGGGTAATCAGACTTTAACTGTATTTTCTTTATACATTTTGATTAAAACAGTCTTTAGTGTTTCATTCAAAGTTGTAATTTTTATTTCTTATTGGCCTGCCAATTAGCCGATGTTGTATTGGTGGTGGTAAGGTTGGTGTCTATACTTTTTTTGAAGCTTATAAGGTTGGTGTCTATACTTTTTTGAAGCTTATAAGGTTGGTGAATAAAACATAGAACAATGTTTTTGTATTGTTTTCAGTTTTTCTCCTATCCTGTTTGTTGACATACCAAATTAATTCCTAATTTAAAATGCTTTAGTTTGTGAAAGTGCTTACAGGAATAATCATATATGATGCTTCTCTCTTTATATAATATATATATATATATATATATATATATCTATTTTTCAAGCTCTAATTGTTCGAGTACTTTCTTTGTCTCTAGTCCTTGATATTAATATGAGTTAATCACCTATATACTGCCAGTGTAAAGTTTTTTTACATTGATAATCAATTATATCTTTTAATTGTGTCATGTCACTATAAACACATTTACTTTTAGCAGTGACATGACAATTAAAAGATAGAGTTAATCACCTATATACTGCCAGTGTAAAGTTTTTTTACATTGATAATCAATTATATCTTTTAATTGTAATGTCCATGCTAAAAGTAAATGTGTTTATAGTGACATGACACAATTAAAAGATATAATTGATTATCAATGTAAAAAAACTTTACATTGGCAGTGTATAGGTGATTAACTCTATTAATATTATTGCATTGTTGATGGTAATCTTACAAAAGTGGTGTTCTACAATTGTGGTCTTTAGTGTACTTAGTGACAAATGTTACATGTTCAGGGACACATTACTACCATCAGGTTCACTTTATATCATGTAATTAATTCATTTTGTTCTCTTTTGAATAATTTTTTCTTTTCCTTATGAAGTGAAAATAATAGAGATATGCTAAAAAAATCCTAGTTAACCATTCATTGTGACCACTAAATATGAAAATTGCAAGCAAATTTTGTTTATTAGAGTAAAATATAATGAACTCAACTCCATGTTCTTTCTTTATCATTGCACTGATACAGAAAAGAAGATGTTGCTATCTAAGCTGCGAAAGGCTTCAGGAACTGGAAAGTCTATTGAGAGTCAAACAAGTAAAAGGGATATTTCTACTTCTACAGAGGATTTAGGTTTGTTAAGCCTCAATTTAGCGTTACTACTTTTTCTGTTCTTGATATTTTTTATGGTTTTTTAATTTATATATGCTGTGTATTTGGCATCAATTGAGCAAGTTTGCATATTATTCTAAGTGGGAATAAGAAAATGAAATGCTTCTGTTGAGTATCCACTGACAAAATATGCTTAAAATAGAAAGAAAAAATAAAGAAAGAAGAAAATGACTGGTCTATGAAGTTGTTATGCAGACATAGCATATGAATATATGTAACATACCGAGTCCTAGCTTAGGTTCATTTCATTTTATGTAAAATACATACGATGTTTTATACCTAGCTTAGGTTCATTTAATTGCAAGAATGTCCTGTACTTGTGTGCATAACCAACATCTGGTATATATCTTTCCAGCATGTATAAACTTGTACTCTTTCTGAAATCTTTACAGCCAATAAAAACAATAACACTTGTTGGTATTTTCCCTCATTTGGTTTGTGTCACATGACAAATAAAATTTATTTTTGGATCATTTGTTCTCTTCATTCAAGGATTTTGATTTAACTCATGATTCTCATGAATCATGACTGGTGAATGATACTTGATTAAAATACTCAGTGTTACTTTTAGTATTTCACTGGTGTAATATCTAGTTATGTTTATATACCTATATGTAATGCAGCAAATGAAGATCCTGCTTCTAACACTTCCAACCCTGAAATCAATGATAATGCCGCTGAGGCCTCTAGTTTGTCCTTAGTTCCTGAAACTAGTCGCTCATCCTTTGGAGTTTCTCCTGTGAATATTCCTCACGACCAGATGAGAATGGTTGCGAACATTAATGCACTTATTTCCGAGGTAGGATTTGATCTGTTTCAGTGTATAATATATACCCAACCTCTCGTTGTTCATTACTATTTGGAATATTTCTCTTGTCACGCATCCGGCTTCCATGTTTTATTAGTGTAGTGTGAAATTGTTGTCAAACAAGCCCACATATTCACCTGTCTACCTCTTTTCTATGTGTAGCTGGCATTGGAGAAAGAAGAATTGATTAAAGCCTTGGCTTATGAATCATCCGAGTCTTCCAGGATGAAGGTAATTCAATTAGAATGCAATTATATGAATCAAGGAGCATTTGTTTTCTTATTCTACTCTATAGTTTTTGGCATAACTTGCTATTGTTTATACCACCGTAGAGACAGCACTTTGATAAAATAAATTTCAATGATCTTACATCTGTTTTTGCCATGGTGTGAAATTTTTTGCCTTTTTGAGAATTATTAGAAAGAAACAATATTGTCTAAAATATTAGAGTTTGTTTGGCCCTATGTTAAATCAACAAGACCTACATGTTTTAATTATTATAGGATTCATAATGGATGTTATTACCAAATCTAGAACATTCATATATATATATATATATATATATATATATATATATATAAAATACT